CTCAGTGATTTGGTAGGAAATGCCTGAGGGATAGCAACACAGTGTGAAATACACTTTGTCCTCCCTAAATGGAATGCTTGAAATTATGAAATAGTAAATAATTGTGCCGCTCCTTCAACATATCTAATGTCCCCGATTCTTCCTGTTACTTTGGTGTGGTTTGTGTGCAATCATAATCTACCACTGAGAATGCATGAAAAGAATGAGTCTGCAAAAGAGTCATGTTTGTATTCTCCTTTTCCATTATTCAGCAAACATTAACAGTTTGTTTGGCTTACACTTATTCCAGGGGTGTCCAAACTTTTTGCAAGGAGGACCAGATTTGGTGAGGTGCAAATGTGTGGGGGCCGACTATTCAGCCTGACATTCTTTGAACCATTAACATTAAATGCAAATGAACTATTTTATGAAAGACTAAACAAATAACTGCACTAATGGGAAGGGTGATACTGAGATCTCGACTGCATCATATAGGCCAGGTCTGGCTCAAAAACAGTGCTTTTGATGCGCAAGATGTCACGCAGGTGAAAGTCACTTAGTCCCGTCCTCACGCGGTTCTTGTTAACGTTCATTACCGAGAATTGCTTCTCGCACAAGTATGTCGAACCAAACAAGCTCAGCATTTTCTTAGCAAATGTTCGAATCTCTTGGAACCTGTCTGTATCCAGCTGGCAGTAAAAGTTGACAAGAGGGAGCTGTTGGTGCCGACTGCGACACTCGGCGTCACACTGCAGCTCAATGAGCTCCAGCTGCAGGTGGTCTGGAGCGTCATCAGGGTCCACAGAGAAAGGAGATGAAAAAAGCGTGATCTCCTTTTCGATAGCTGCAAAATCCCGAAAGCGCTGTTGAAACTCCTCAGCCAGAGATGAGATGTCTGCTTCATACCTCCTTATTTGTGCACTCATATTGTTCTGTGGAAAACTGGTAATTATTTCCTGCAGCGATGGGAAATGTGTGGTATTGGGCTGCGTTTGTGACAGGTGCCTTTGGAAAAGTAGCAGCTTGGTCCCAAAGGCTTTGATATGTGAATACAGTTGGCTTACCACTGCATTTTGCCCCTGAAGGCTCGTGTTCAGCACATTCAGATGTCGTGTTATGTCAACTAAAAAATCAGCCAGTCAAACAGGATCAGATAGCTCTGACATTGGTTGTCCCTTTTTTGCCAAGAATTGTCCGATTTCCACAGGGCTTTGGAACGAATATAATTAATAGCCTTCATCACCAGTTTCATAACATGACCATATTTCAGGTGTTTGGCACAGAGAACTTGTTGGTGAATAATACAGTGGAGTTTTATAGCTTTGCCTCCTTCTTTGCTGACTTTGTTACAGACTAGGGTTGATAATCCACTTCGCTCGCCAGCCATGGCAGGTGCGCCATCCGTAAAAATTCCAGTGACTTTATTCCACAGTAGTTTCATGTCATCTACGGTGGAACAAACAGAAAAAAATAAATCTGTTCTTCTTGTTTGGTCCTTAAGGCTCTGGAGGTCAAATAGCTCTTCACTCACGTTCATGTCATTGTCCACTCCACTCAAAAAAAATCAATAGCTGAGCGGTGTCAGATGCATCCGTGCTTTCGTCGCAGGCTAACGAAAAAAATCAAACTCCACTCCTTTTGCCTCTAACTGTCTCTTAATATCAGATGAAACATCTTCAGTTCTCCGTACCACAGAGTTACTAGCCAGGCAAACATTGGAAAACTCTTGCTTCTTCTCAGGACAAATTTTCTCTACCATTTTCATCACGCAGTCTTTAATAAATTCACCCTCAGTAAAAGTTTGCAGTGCTTGTCAATCAGCATTGCCACCTCGTAGCTTGCCTTTGTGGCATTTTCTCTGTCAACTTTCCTTTTTTTAGTTACAGTCGCCAGTTTAGAAATGGGCACACAAGCCTTGTGTCACAAGGGTCACTCGGCGAGAGTGTTGACTCAGGTCTACTGCCATCTTCTGGTGAAATATAACCACCAGCCTTGAAGGAGCAGGAGGCAGCAGGGGACAGCTGCGGGAACCGCTGTGCGGGGAAGGGAAAAACGCTGGCCGGTGGGGATGAGTGAGTCTGCAGGCCACTCGAAATTTGAAAACAGGCCGCAATTGGCCCCCGGGCCGGACTTTGGACTTGCCTGGCTTATTCTGTCTTAAGAGTACAGAGTTCCCTTTTGCCTGAGCTAAGATCCCTGTGTGGCATAATTTTCCTCTGTAGAAATAGGTGCTCTCCGCATCCTGTGGCATTGTCATGCCCCTGCTGAAGAGCAGCTTGACTGAGGAGGGACTGGAGATGCCAGAGGTGGATGCCACTGAACCATCCATGCCAGAAGACCTTGGCTGAGGTAGATGCAAGTCCACCCCTGCCAGGAGGAGAGGACTAACCCGCAGAGGCTGAGTGTCCTCACTCAGTAGAGCTCCCATGAGGGGCATTCTCTTCTAGACAAGGGCTCCTCAAGAGAAAGTGACTCTGCAGCAGCAAGGCTTTCACCAGGGCACCCCTATATACTGCGTCTGAGATCCAGGTGAGGATCTGGTGCTAAAGCCCTTTGCTATCTGACCAGCTAGTGCGGTTTTCCTTTAGCTTTGGTGCCTTCTGCCAGTGACCTAGACCTTGCCTGGGTGGCTGATGCACCGCTCTATTGACCTTTGGGCTCATGCTTAACTTGACTTGCGGACTGCGTAACATATTGCAATGGTTAACTGTGATTTGATCTCTGCTTGTACTTTGACCACACCTGCCTGCTTGGCTCCTTACAGACCCTAAACCTTAGTGCTTGATCATTTACCTGTGCTCATCTTGCTTTTTGGATTGCCCTGTAGTTCACTGTCTGCTTCAGTCAAGGCACGATAACATGCAGAATGAAACTAAACCTTCCCATAGGTGATTTTGCTAGTTTCCTGCACCTTCCTTTGGGGTGGGTCTCCAAGATACACCCCCAGAATGAATGCCCACTCACTTTGATCTCAGAGGGCAGATAATGGCAGGGATGTGGGTAGCAGGGGACCTAGCTGGCTCCGTGAACACATTGCTCCCTGCAGCCACAGAGATGGCACACATTGCAGGAAGCTAGAGATGTGCTTGTGCCGTGCCTTCCCACCTTGGAGAGCACATTCCGCAGGCAAAGCATCCCAGCTTGGACTGCAGTGGCTTAGCCTGCACCGTGCCTTCCCCCAGAAGGGAGGTCGCAGTGCCTGTGAAGCAGGTCCTTGGCTGAAATAGCTGCTGGGGAGCAGACCTGAAGCCACACAGCCTGGTTCCATCTAGCCTGCAAAAGGCTGGAGAGTGGATTCATTGACTCCTTGCCTCTAAAATATTTACCATATTTTAGACAGATCTTGTATATTGGCAGAAACTGACAAAACCTGAGATCTCTGTGTGCATGTGTAGAAATCCGAGCAGGATGTTGTGCAATAAATCCATTTGTTGGGAATCGACACAGCCAAGCTTGTTTAGAAATTCAGCACTTCTCAGCACAGAAAACACTTCACCTGCACTCCAGTAAAGGAAGCCAACCTCACCCCACAGAAGGAGGTGGCAAACGCGGCATCTCCAAAGATTTCTCCTAGGAAAGAGGTTGTTATAGGCTAGTACTTATAAAGGGCTTTATGGACAGGTTTCAGTGCTGTTCAATCTTTGCTGCCTCGAGTTAAAATAAGAAAGCAAGTGATGTGGCATCCTCTGCCTGAAGCCCTGGCAAGTCCCCAGAGAAAGTAGGAAATGTGGTTAATTCATATTGGGTATTTTCCTGTGTGCTACGGCCACATTTACACATACATGGCAGCTGGTGTTGGCTTCAGTAGTGCTGATCACTTGTCCAGTGAGTGGTGAGGAATTCCCTTCCACTAATATCCTTCTGGAAAAGGTAGGGATGCCGTTTACAGACACGCAGGGAATGAGGTAACCATCTATTCAATCCCCTGTTTCAGATGCTGTTTTTTCAGAAATCCCCGGATCCCTGCTGCTTAGGGGCTATAAAGTAACCACAGCACTCTGAGAAATCACTCCATCAGTCCTTCCCAACCTGGTGCCCTCCAGACTGTTAGCCAGGAATGATGGGAGCTGCGGTCCAACACATCTGGTTGGAAAGGACTGCCCTCCATTATGTCAGTTGCCAATAGGATTTTGAGGCCTTGGTCTTCATTGCGGTCATCTCCTCCCTACTGCTGACATCTGAATGATGATCCTGGAGGAAACCCTCTCATGAAGCAGTGTATTTCTGAAATGGAGCTATTAAGAATGTAGAGCTGCCTTACCTATTAACAAAAGTTTAAATTCAGCAATTTACTGACACAGATCCAAGATGAACACCACATCCTCCTTCCTGCCATCACACATCCTGCCACTTGCAACTGAATTGGCGAACCGTGGCTTGCACTTGCCCTGCAGACCGAAATTGCCACAAGGAAGCTTGAAAGAATAAGTCTAAACTTCTAGTTGGGCAGGCAAGTCCAACCACTGTTTTCCAGTTGGGATGTAACGAAGAAGCAGTGGTTTGCCAAAGAAGAGGAAGCAGAAGCGCATGGCAGTAGTGGGCAAAGGAAGCATTTGGACCCAGATCTTATTCCAAACAACAGTATGTTTTTATGTATAAATTCACTTCCTTTTTATTGCTTTCTACACCCATCATACTCTGGCTGAGTTAGATTGGGAACTCTTAGAAGACAGGGTCATAAAATAGTCATTTACTTGTTGTTTTCGAAGAACCAGTGAAAGATGCCTACTTCAGTGCCTACGGATTGGTGCAGGCAGGCGATAAGGATGCCTGCAACTTTCTTCGACTCTGGAAGTTTCAAGTGTCCCTATCAGTCATTTAGCCCTGCCAGCTGCAACGATGAGCAATTGTTGTTGCTCTAGCATCCATGCTTGTCATGCTCTCCAAACCTGCCAGGAAATTTCCAAATGATCAGTGGAAAATACTAAGTAACTTTATACTGTTAAACTTAACAAACTCTCTGCAAATCAGGCATTAAACATAATGCTGGCATTAAAAAGGATACAAAGAATAATACTTACAGCACAGAGTATCTGATATTTCTTTAGAGTGCTCCGGTTAACCATTTTCTCTGTTTGTAAATCCATTAGGTCCATCGTGCTTAATTCTTTCTCATGAAAAACTGTTTCTGTTTTCCCAGGCATGTTATACTTTGCTCTCTTCTTCTCCGCCTTCTGCCCTTTCAGCTGTGCTGCAGCTCAGCACGAACTGAGTGATTATCACTGAAGCCTCGGCATATAAATGAGAGCATAGTCTTCGAGGGTTGGGCATCAGAAAATCCAACAATTCAGTCAACTTCAAAGGGTAGGAAACACTTTGGAACATCATTTCTAGTAAACAATTGCTGAAGGATTCTTGCTTCTAAGGCTGAAATTTATGGGAAAAACCAAAGAACTGGCTTGTTCTTCAGAAGAAAAACATGGAAACAAGCCTTTCTGAATAATGCCAAGTTTTAATAAAACCCAAACGAGGAAGTCAGATTTGTTCATCATTTTCAAGGTACTGGCATAAAAAAAACACCACCCTGCTTTCTTTATGCACAGTGTTCCAACTTTTTTTTCTGTTATAGGGAATAGGTAAATCCTATTATGGGGCAACCAACTGAAATGTTTCTAGATGTTTCCTCCTTTCTACTTTACTTGAAACTTTTCTGCCCAAAGACTTCCAAAACAACAGGCTTTCAAAAACAATAAAATAAAAAATACATGATAAAGTGTTTATAACAGCAGCTTATACAATAAAAGATTAAGAATAACTGTACAAAGAATAGCAACAAACAGACCACCAAAGGATGTAATTGTCTGTGCTGGTTTTTTAAAAGATGGTAACTATGAGACTTCAATTATTACTAACCTTAGCCCCATTGATTCCCATGGGTCTAGTTTAACGATGGCCAAATCTGGATTCAGCCAATGATTTAAAAGGATTACATTTTTACTTATTTTTGTAAGCTGCCTTGAGGCTGCGGCAAAGGACAGCATATAAATGTTTTAATTAATAAATAAAATAAATATCCTTACCCCTTACTCTGAGGAGCTTGGGCAGCTTACATAAGTCCCACTTCATTTTAGCCTCACAATAACTCTTTGAGGTAGGTTAGGTTGAGAGAAGGTAACAATCCCATAATCAGGCTTCATGACTGAAGGGTAATTTTAAATTGGGCCTCTCCAGTCCTAACTGGGCAGGAGATTTTGCTTCTGTTGTAATTTACTCTGTTCCATTAATATTGAGAACTGGTGATAAAGCCATAAATTAATATTAGCATACTTTCCTTGATTCTTTTAATTTGCAGAGGCTGGAAAAGGTTACAGATCAATTAGAATAGACTATATTTGCTGTTCTTATGGCTGCACTTTCCATCTTCTTCTAAGGCAAACGCTGTACTTGTAGAAGTAATTGAATAGTCCTTGAAAGAGATCAAGAGGGTGACTACGTGAAGGAGGGCCTTCTATTTGGTGGCGCCCCGACTGTGGAATACAGTCTATTTCTATTTTTAGAATAAATTTATTGTAAACTGTCCCAAGATGTCTCAGTATGGGATGGTACAGAACAGTTTTAAATAAAATAATGAATAAATACCAGTATGTTGTAGCTGTTGCAAAAGCGGTGCCAAAGAATAGGACTTCCCTCAGAGGAAATGAATTCTGGCCGTAGGGCTACTGCTGGGCTACCTGGGTTACACCAGCTTAATTAGCATGGTCCAGGCTTTGCCTGCTGTGCAGTTTTTGGAGGCTCAGCATTTTACCCCTTTTGCTGTCATCATGAGGGCTGCTCAACAGAAGGAAAGAAAGCCAAGCTTTAGCCCGATCGTGAGCATAATTGCTTTCTTCCTTCACTCTCAGATGAAGCTGCAGCAAAAGTGGACTAACTAGGGATGCAGCAGGCTTAAATTGCCAGCCTGAGCTTTGCCCCCAGCAGTGACATTCAGTTACACCAGGACAGCAGTAAAGTAGCCCCTTTCCAAACCTGCTTGGATCTGGCCAACTTGAGATCCTGCTTTGAAGCAGATTACATAGGAAAAAGCCATAACCTGGTGGCACACCATGTATCTTGCACAGAAGAAGGTTCAATCCATGATATCTCCAAATTGGCCTGGAAATGCATCTACCTGAAACCTCAGCAAGTTGCCACCTTAAACAAGCAAGTTGTTTAAACCAGGGCTGGGCAGAAGGTAGGTCTCCAGATTTTTAAGACGTCAGTTCTCAGAAGTCCCTGTCACTGTTAGCAATGGCAAGAATGCAGGGAGTTAAAGTCCACAATTTCTGGAAAAGTATTCTCAGCCCACCTCGGGCTAGACAATACTGAGCAAAATGGACCAAGGTTCTCATTCAGTATAAGGAACCTACAAAAACCACTAGCCTACAACTGGTTTACAAATAGGCTGCTAGGAGGCTCATGACCCATGTCTTCCAAAGGGAGCAGCAGAAGATAAGTGCAGAGATAAGGTGTCCATGCATATCTCCATATCTCTCTGTGTATCCACCCCCACCCCTTGTCTATCCTGATACATGCATAGGTTTTCTCCATGCAAGTAGCGATACCTACAGGGACACTGGAGGAAGGGGCAGGGAAGACATGTGACCTTAATGATACAGCAACCTGAGGTCTTCAGATGCCGTGCTTCTGGTGGTTCTGCATGGACTTGTAGCTTCCCACAGAGCAGCCTTCAGTGGGGTGCCCCTCTTTTTATGATGCCCCCCTTAGGCAGACACTAACAGTCACATGTTTGCAGCACTTCCTGCAACAATCTTCATTTCAAGAATTCTTCCTTGATTGGTGTGATTCCATGGTTTTTACTGGCACCACTTTTAAAACCAGACATGTAATGTGGCATTTTATTCTTTTTATCCTTTATTGCTCACCATAGGAATAGGTTTAGATGCACATCAGTATATCCACATTGTAAATAATTAAATAAATTTAACACAAAATTATCATTCCACCTGTGAAAATAAATGGGGATTGCATTCACTTGAGCAGGCTACGTTGGATAACATACTCCTAAAATAGCAGATATGACTATTATTCAGTTCAATTTTTAGGAATTAATGCAGATGCATTTAATTTTTGCAATGCATGATGCTTGGCTGACTGGCAACATAGGATACTTTTCCCCCACCCCACATGGAAGTTGTTGCTTGAAATCTGAAAGGGTAAAACTATGGATACAATTTTATTGATAGACAAACTCTAGTTACCTTGTCTGGTTCAGTTAAAGTGTAGCATCTTTATTATCACCCCCTGTCCCCACCCGAGTGCCTTCACAGTAGGGAGACACCCTCTTGGCTTGATAGATAGAGCATGTGGGATGAATATGCTTGCTTCCTTGCCCAGACTCCTTAGTGATCCTGCTATTCTGTGTAAGGACTGGGTTAATATTTTACTAGGGACTTGGATAGCCCAGACAGGGACCCTCCTCACCTAGTCTGCCTTTCTGACTCCTTGTACCTATATGAGACCTGGCTCCTGTCTATTCAGTGTCTCCGCTGCCCCATCTGTCAATGATTCATGTCTCTCCAACATACTTTGCCATATGTTTCATTGTAAACATGCAACCTATATAAGCTAGCCATTTCCCATGTGTTCTTTTTCTGACTGACACTTAGGGGCCTCCCCTGACTGTCCATTCTGACTGACCGGAGCTGACCTAGCATGCAAACCTCTCCCTGCATGCAGTGTTAAGTGACCTGCTACTAAAGCACTTGGGAGTGCTAGCTAGCTTACTTTTGTGTTTTGTTGCAACAAGAACATGTCTTCCTGTAAGTAAACCCGGAAGCTGGCAGAATCGTGTCCCTGGGATCACAGAAACGTCTCTCTCTCATTGAGGTGAACACAAGCTCTTAGTTCAGCTGCACTTCCTGTTCTTTTGAGGCATTTGTGCTATTTTTAATAACCTTGTTAATCAACACGACAGCTTCCTCGTTAGGAACTGTGTGGCAACAGCATGAAGAAGTTTATCAGGAGGACTTTAAACTGAATCATACAGGGGAGGGAGAAGTTCTCCTGCATGCAACATCAATAGGTGAAGGTTTATGACCGCAGCAGAGAAAGAAGCTCTAATTGTGCCTAATAATTGTCTTCTAAAATATGTAGGAAGAAAGGCAGAATATAAAGCATGAGTTCTTCAATGTCTATATACTAATGGTCAGAGCATAGGAAACAAACAATGTGAACTGGAACTCTTAATACATGAGGGCAAATATCAGGCATCTGTTCTAACTTGGCTAAAAGAATGGATAACTTTGCGAAGTAAGAGAATTTTGTATCTTGAAGGTCACGACTTGCATATGGGTTGGCATGCGTATATGTGGTATGAGAAAGTTAAGTCACATGGGTCTTTTCTGAGTCATTTTATTAGAAGATCATTAATGTCGGTGTGGGAAAAATTTAAGTCAAAAATGTATAATAAACTACCAAGATGGCTTTCACCTATGGAAGCTTTTGTATATCCAAATGCATTGAACTTTGATGGGATTATAAGAAATGATGATATCTTGGATAAGGACGGTGGCCTGAAACTAGATCAAGAAATACAAGAACAGGGACTTAACATCTCCTGGTGGTATAAGGAGCAGATGCAATTGAGATGTGCTAAAGATTGTAAAGCATGAGGGTTTTACAAAGATTTAACAGCGTTTGATCAAGTGATGCTTAAAACAGATGAGAAAATGATTAAAAGATTATATGATTTTTTACTTGACAGGAAAATGGAAGGGGAACAGGTTAAGGAAACTATGATAACATGGGCACAAAACTTTGGATATAATGTTGAATTAGAAAAGTGGCAAAAACTATGGGAGAGAAGTATTAAGGTAACATTAGCAACTTCGTATAAAGAAAACTTATATAAAATGTTCTGTAGATGGTATTTGTCGCCAAGTCGATTAGCCAAGATGTTTCCAAATATGTCAAATAGATGTTGGAAATGTAAACATAAAGTGGGTACTTTTTATCATATGTGGTGGACCTGTGATAATGTAAAAAAGTATTGGATTAAAATACATAAATGGCTGGAGGAAATACTACAAAAACCCTTAGCTTTTAAACCTGAAGTTTTCTTGTTAGGCATCATACCGGAAGATATTAACAGACAGGAAATGTATTTGATGTTACACTTAATCACAGCGGCAAGGATTGCATTTGCTCAATACTGGAAAAGTGAAGAAC